ATTGGATTTTCTTCCCACTTTCTCAGGACTCACGGGGATCTGGTGAGCAGCTTGTACCATCAGATCCTGCTCACCCTCCAGAAGGTGTTGGCTGACCCTGTCCGACCCCTCTGCTCACACTATGGGGCCGTGGTGGGGCTCCATGCCTTGGGATGGGAGGTAAGTTGTTGCTTGCCTCATTGGTGGTTTTGGGGTGCCTCCCTGGTGGGTGCTGATCTCTTATGGGCCTCTTCCCCCTTCAGGCGGTGCAACGGGTCCTGTACCCCCATCTCTCGACCTATTGGTCCAACCTGCAGGTGGTGCTGGATGATTATTCGGTGTCCAACGCTCAGGTCAAGGCTGATGGACACAAGGTCTACGGGGCCATTCTGGTGAGTCTCATGGTGGCAACTGCAGCCAGAGTGTTTTGTAAGAACTGCAACATTTGCTGGTAGTCCCCGACTTAAGACCATTTGGTTAGTGACCATTACAAGTTCCGATGGCCCTCTCCCAGCCAGAGGATTATTCTAAGCAGGCAAGAACTGCAGTCCTCGATTTACAACTACAATTGCCATGGCTCAGGGATTCAATTAATAAGGGAGACACACCTGATTTTACAATCGTTTTTTGCTGTGGTCATTAAATGCATCCAACTTTCCCCATTGATTTTGCTTATCGGGAGCTGGCGGGGAAGGTCACGAATGGTAGTTACGTAATCTCAGGATGCTGCTCCCGTCATAAATACGAACCAGCTTCCAAGCGCCTGAATTTTGACCCTGTGACCCTAGGGATGCTGCAACGGTCATAAGTGTGAAAAATGGTCATATTGTTTTGAGCCGCAGTGGTCAGAGTGCAGTACTACAGGCTACTTCTGCTGACTGCCAGCTGCCTGCAATTTGGCAGTTCGAATCTCACCAGGCTCCAGGTTGACTCAGCCTTCCGTCCTTCCCTCTGAGGTTGGTAAAATGAGGACCCAGATTGTTGGGGTCAAGAGGCTGACTCTGTAAACCACTTAGAGAGGACTGGAAAGCACTGTGAAGCGGTATATAAGTCTAAGTGCTATCGCTATTGTCACTTTTTCTATGCTGTTGTAACATTGAACTGTCACTAGTTGTAAGTCAAGAAATACCTGTAAATGTGAGAGGATCTCACAAGTCACTGTTTTCAGCAACACTGTAATCTCCAATGGTCCTTAAATAAAGCATCATATGTTGGGGACTAGTTTTTTGCTTGATCTAGTCAAGGGAGGGAAGGAGGGATCATTGTAAAAAAGGGATCATTGTGTTGTGGCTTGTCACCCTCTGGCCCCTCCAGCAGCCGAATCAGAGGAGGAGGAGGAAGAGGCGTGGGAGTCAGGGTCAGCATCAGGGCAACCTGGGAGCTCCGAGGGGGAGGAGGGAATGGAGCTGGCAGAGAGAGAGAGAGAAAGAGAGAGAGGCGGAGCCTGAGCCGTCCGTCAGCCCTCAGATGGAGAGTCAACAGTCCCCAGGTCTGGAGGTGGCTGATGAGGAAGAGGAGGAACAGCTGGGTCCAGTGCCTGACATGCAGATGCACAGAAGGCAGAGGAGAGGAGAGCAGTGGAAATCTATGGGCCGATCCTTGGGACGGAAGAGCCACCGCTGCTAGCAAAGCCCCACCCTAGCTGTGGGGATAAAAGGCAGGGGGTGGAGAGGAATAGACGGGGCAGACAACGATTCCTCTCCCGGCCGAACATACTTGTTAGCCCGTGGTGAGAGAGAAACTTTTTGCCAGGGCTGCTGGTGCTCCTAATAAAGGAATCTTTGAGTTCACTGCAGAGGGTTGGTTGTGTTTGGGGAGCTGGGTCAGAACACATTGGCTGCATCTGATTTTGTTCATATAAACGATGCAGTGCTTCAATGATTAGACGCCCTAAACGTTGGTATCTGAATTATTTCATTGTTGTTGTTGTTTTTAATCTAAGGGTTTAGTTTTATTATTAAATACCTGGCTAACCCGGCTGTCAGAAATATTGAACCGATATGGCGTAGGGTTCCCGTTGTGTGACACACTGAACCAAGTTAAGTAACGGATTAAAGATATACATGGGCAAATAGACATGGCAACCCTTTCAACTAATCATTCCCTTAAACTGCTGACAGCAGTTAAAACAACTTTCACTCTGGAAAAGTATTTACATTTAGAAATGCCATCAGTGGAGAGACAGTTATTTGTTAAGTTTAGATTCGAACTTCTAGATACCAACGTTAGATTCGGCCGTTATCGGAAAATCCCGTATGACAAAAGAATATGCATATGTGGGGTAAACGTCGTGGAGGACACGGCACATATAATATTCGAATGTAGTCTCTATCAAGAAGTAAGAAAACAATATCTGTCCCCAATTATAAATAAATTTCCCCACTGGAATATAAACCAAAAATTAGCATTTCTGTTGAGGGCTGACTCTCCTCCCCTGGTAAGAGCGATCACTCGATACCTTAAAAGAATGACGGCAATACGAGCCAGTTATATCAAAAAAAAATTTATCGATTGTAAGGAAGATGAGCTGAGTTAGAGAGGAGCTATCCTATTTGGGTTATCTAGTCTTGACAACTTAGCTATTGAAATTTGATATTGTAAAATTTTAATGTCATCTATCATATATTTTTAGATTGCTATTTTTGTAACTGTTTTATCTTTTTCCCTTTTTCTTTTCTGTTTTGTTTGAAAAGGCCTTCGGGCTATTCAATAAACTATAATAATAATAATTATTATTATTAAATATATATTATATTATATTATATTATATTATATTATATTATATTATATTATATTATATTATATTATATTATATTATATTATATTATATATATTAAATATTAGTTATTAAATATATTAAAAATTAATTTTTTAATCTAATATTAATCTAAATTAATACATATCGCACATCCATACAGGACAAGGGTGGGGAATTACAGCCCATTTACGACCCGTAGACTTCAACTCCCAGAATTCCTGGGGCAGCCATTCAAAGGGCCATGCCGGCTCAGGAATTCTGGGAGTTGAAGTCTACAGGTCGAAAAGTATGACATGCCACCCATGATGTATGAAATGCCACATGCTAAACAAATCAGGGGCTGCCTTGAATTCTTTTCAGCAGAACGGTGCATAAACTGGATGCCTTGAGAACGAACTAGTGCCTGGAGTTGGGGGGCAATTATGGTGTTTAAATTATGCCAATCCTGGGTCTCCCCACAGGTGGCCGTCGAGCGGCTTCTCAAGATGAAGGCCCAGGCCCTCTCGGTCCCCGTCCAGGCTGACGGTGCAGGTCCCGAGGGGCGCCCGCGGGACGGTGTGCCTTGGCTCAGCCCCCTCCAGGATGCTCAGGTGGAGTTCGGCTTCGGCATTGCCAGCCACCTGCTGCAGCTGGGCAGCGGGGGGCCGCAGGTTGGGGTGGGCATCCCTGCCAGCCCCCCGGCTGTCTCGCTCAATGAGATTTACCAGGAGCTCTACTACTTCTTCGGGGATAGCCTGGCCACCCGTTTCGGCACCGGCTCGGGGCTGTGCCCAGCGGGGCCAATGCCCGCCAGCCCTCCCAAGACCAATGACACCAAGAAGGAGCAGCCAGCCTTCGGCACCGGGGACGCCGTGCGCAAGATGCCCCAGCTGACCGCCAGCGCCACTGTCAGTCCTCGGGAAGAGGAGAGCCCCCGCGTGGACTTTTCAGCCAGCCGGCCTGCCTTGCATCACTCAACCAGTCTGGCCCGTTCCCGCAGTGCCCTGCGCCAGCAGGGTCACCGGCCCGTCGCCCGGGATGTCTTCCAGAAGTGCCGGTTTTCCCTGCAGGGGGCGCCCCACTTCAGTTTTGTTATCGCGGGGCGCCAAGTGGAGCGCCGGTGCCAGGGGCGCCTCTTCCAGACCTGTTTCTTACAACACCATGGCCCCACCCACGTCTCGCGCTACGCCCAGAAGCTGCCCATGATTGGACGGACCAGCAAGCCCGCGAAAAAGTGGGGCCACTCGGACTATTCCCTCTACTTACCTCTCTGAGCAATGGGTTTTTTCCAAGCAGGAACATCTGTTTGGGAGCTCCTGGTGCCCCACACCCAGAAACCCACCACCAATACCCTGGGGCCACTTCCATCCAGGACTTGTCCCCAATCCGTTGGAAGGGCCCCCGAGAGATTGCAGCATGGAAATCTGAGGCTACCCCCTTGGAATAACCAAGCCCCTTTAAAAATTCAGAGGGAGTGAATTCCCCAGCCATGTGCTTATTTGTCCTTCTCTCAATTTTGTAATAAAATGGAATGATAAGATTGGTACTTAACCAATAAAACTCTCATATGTTGACCAGAAGCCCAACCTGCCAAAAAAAAAAAAAAAGGGTGGGGGTGGAGGGAGGCAGGATTTTTGCTGGAGGTTTGGGTCATTGTTTGAATTTTTGTGGGGCAGAAGGAGAAAAAGCAAAAGAATTGGCTTTTAGTGTTTTATTTTTTAAGGGACAGGAAATATGTGTGATTTGCTAATGGAAACCTTTTTAGCTAAGCTAAATTGACTTGAAAAACTTTGGAAAGAGATCCAGTTGAAATAAGGGGGGGCCCATTCTCTGCTGATTTCCCCCCAAAAGACGGGCCTGGTGGCTCAGCAGACTGATAACATTGTGATTAACACCAGCTGTCTGCAATTACAGTAAGTTCGAATCTCGCCAAGGCTCGAGGTTGACTCAGCCTTCCATCCTTTCTAAGTTAGGTAAATTGAGGACCCAGTTTGTGGGGGCAATAAGCTGATTTTGTATAAATATACAAAAAGTATGAAGGCTATTGCTTAACGCATTGTAAGCCACCCTGAGTCTCCGGAGAAGGGCGGCATATAAATCATTTTTTTTTTAAAGAAAAAAACTAGATTCAAAACCACAGCAGTTTTGCTTTTGCCTTCCTGCTGAAAGATAAAAAAATATTTCCTGAATTTATTCTTGGAATTCAGTTCCCAACATTGGAGTGTAAGGTCCCAAAATATACTTGAGTCCCCAGAATGCCAAAGAGAGAGACTCAAGACGAGGCTTGCAAAAAATCAGTTTTTATTTATGGCCAAAAACAAAATACTGGGTGGAACTATATCCAGAACATACAGATACAATGCATGCGAGGAGATAGCCACACCTTGGGGAAGGTATGGCGTCCTTTTATACCCTCAGAGACGTCAGCTTAGTACCCAACTCTGGCCTCCCAATCCAGGCCCGTGCATTCCTTGTTGCCCTGCAAGGGGGAATAGAAACTTCCCAATTAGTCATCTTGAGCATTTCTTTGTTTACTCAATTGGCCACTTTGGCCCCCTGGCCCTGGAAAGTAGGAGTCTATCCAGATCAAACATAAATTAGGGCTGAGGTGTAAATTATCCCTTTGTTGATGGCTAGTTTCAACTGAGATACGTACCATGCTTTTAGATGGCACAAGAAAAAACAGGGAGAAGATCGATATGGGTTCAGGTCAAATGGCAAGGGTTTGACAAATACCAGATACATTACAGAGGCCTAATAACAGAATATGTTTGTTACAGGAGATACAAATATAAAGGCATATATGTATTACAGGAACCTAATGGTTACAGAATCTAGTATACCAGTATATCATATTCTAGTATTATTTATTATATCCTTATTATTGTTTCCCTTCATTCCACACTTTTTATTTAAATAATGGAATGCTTTCCATCGCGGGAATCATGTGACTATTCTTTGGATTAAAGGAATGAGACAAGGGAGAAGAAGGAGACCTCCAAGAGTTAACAATCATCAATTTTGCAAACAAAATTTGTGAGATTAATTTTTCCACACACATCTACTTTTGCTAACAAATAGTGTACAGGAAGTCTATTCTGGGATATTGCTGTTTTCAACAGAGTGCTGTTTAACTAAGAAATTTAGAGCACTAACAGTTGTATTAGGTATCATTGCAATCATTGGCTGTAACCTTACAATTCTATTCAGCATATAAAGGGAGTTCTATACCATCTTCTGCCCAGGTGGCTGGTCCGTATACCTGAACTATTATTTCTGGAGGCCACTCATCTTTCTGTGGCCTACATCTACATAAATAGGTACACCCAGTCTTTCACCTTGTGGTATGGGCAGTAGAAAAAGGAAGAAAAATAGATTTCACAGTTCCTAGTACACATGCTTCATACCATCGGCTAGGCAACTGCACATAGGCAAATTTTCCATTTATCCAATATAAGCCACTTATATTATCCATAACCCACTCAGTCTAGGTATATTTTCAAATGGGTTACTAGGTTGTGTCAGGTTAATTCCAGACTGAAAAGTAACAATAAGCAAAGAAAACACCCTTACGTGTAATATAATTTTTCACACTGATCATTGCATTATATTCTCATATTAGTCCTATGCATAAGAAAATTAGTCCCAAATATTGAACCATTGCATTAAATCAATCCATTCTATCTCTTCAGGGATCATGATATCACTATCTCCTAGGACTACTGTATTCAAGTCAGGCTGATCTGATTCAATGCCTCAATTCTCCAGTGTAGGATAGATATATACATAGGAATAGAGTTTCTATGGGGAGCCATCCCTTGCACATTTACACAAGCACAGTGTCCCATTATTCCCCACAGGTGTGTATAAGTTCACCATTACAACAAGAATAACAATAACATTCAGTGATACAGTTACAATCACGGGACCAACACAATCTGGAGAGTGTGAAGTTGCACAGCTGCTGTTGGGATCTTCAGATGGAATAAGAGAGGCCACCACTCAGGCTGGAAAGTCCAAAAAGTTGCTACTCCTGCAACAAGAAAAATCAAACAAAACCCATTCATACCACAATGACCACACCAGTTTTTGGAAAAGTTTATTCTCAGCAGGTCTTCTTCAGGAATCACTTGCCACTCTTTAAGTTCTCCCACTGGTCCTTTTACACGGGTGTAGTGGTCCACCCTTTGTCTTTAGGTTGGACTGCTGTTTCAGTAGTCAGCAGGACTTGGTAGGACTTGTCCCAGGCTTGGCTAAGTTTGTCCTCACATCAGGTTTTATCAGGACCCAATCACCAGGCTGGAACTTATGAACAGCAAAATCGAGAGGTAGGGTTTGAGCTAGGAGTCCTTTGATTCTGAGGTAAGATAAAGAAGAATAGAGGCCATGTATACAGTTCTTTACAAACATGTCTTTAGTTTCATATTCTGGAATTTCCCCCCATTCTGTCCAAACGTGGTAATCCAAACATCATTTGGCAAGGCAAGGGTAAAGATTTGGTTCACAGCAGAGATGGTTTTTGCATTCTGAGCCAAAAACAGTGAAACTGCAAAGGCAGGTATCAGATATCACCCTTTATCCCGCCTTTCTCAGGCTGGTTCAGCAGAGAACCAGCCCGCAGCCCCCCTTTTTCCTGCTTCTCTCCTCCAAGGGAGATGGGGGAAAGGAAATACAGGGAGAAAAAATGTTTAAACTACATAGAATGTCAGGGTAAATGTCTAACTTCACCATAATCACAGGCCCACAGCCATGCAAGTGTTAACTGATCACACATCCCATCATCCCCTTAACCACACCTTACCTTTAGGGTCCTCCCCCTGGGTATAAGATCTCTCCCCACGTGGAGATACAGGAACGTACCTGTAAATGAAAAGATCTGATGTCAGTAAGTGCTATGCGTGATAGGCCTGGAACAAGCCAGGCTAGAAATAAAAGATACCTGAAACTTATAATTACTTGTCTTTTGAGTTATTGGGCTAGATCCATTCTATATCAGTATGGTAGCAGAGGATGGTTGCCCATAACTCAGATTAATGGCAGAATCAGTGATTCATCCTGAAGCTGAAAACAGAAGAATCACGAGATCCCATTCCAAACAGATGGCTGCAAGCAATTGAAAAGGCCACAACAATGATGGAGACAACTGAGGATGAGCAGGACTGCAATCCGGACCCACTCATCAGAAGCGAAAGGCCATGAGCAAAAGCAAGCAACTGTGAAAGAGAGGAGCCACCAGAAAGAGACGAATTCAGGGCAACCATACTGAAGATGATGGAAATGGAGCAGCAAAATGGAGCTCATCACGAAACTCCAAGGCCTCCTAGACAGCCATGGAGCAGCGATGATCAGCCAGTAACGAAACCATGAAGACGCCAGTCCGGTAAGGGAGAGGGATTCCCAAGCTGAAGCACCGGACATGGACTATTTCAATTCTGCGCCATGCTCCCGGTGGCCATCTTGGGATGGCCAGCAGCCAATGGGAAGCCGAGATTTAAACCTAACGGCGCGAAACAACGAGGACCCCAAAACAAATGGGGAACAACCTGAAGACAACCTAGAAGAAAGAACCCAAGCCCACAGGAGCTCACCCAGTGAGCTCGAAGTAGAAAAGGCAATAGAGACTTTAGCGGCAGCATTTGACTCCGCATTCAAGCCTCCCGCGCCAAACACAAACTACACCGACACGCAAAACAATGGGCTGGCCACCAGAGTCGAAGCATCGACCCAGCCAAGCCTCAGAGAACCGACACGCTCCGGAAACGAGCACCAAAACCCGACCACCTACAGGATTACTCAACCGCAGGATTCGAACTCGCCACCCAACACACCAACAACGCGAGGCCCCAGAGTGGAAGGGCGAACCGGCTACCTACCAGCTCCACGACCACCACCAGGCTTCCCTGCTCGCTCGGAGACCAGCGGACACGGACCAGGACCCACCGTTGTCGCCGCTGCGCCGCCGAGTCCCGGAGATCCTCGACTTATGTCTGCCGCCATCACCGCACTGCCGAGCTTCAGGGATCCTCAACCTGCGACCGCCTCGCCTCCCAATCTTCTCCCGTTCTTCGCCAGGGATCCAGCCACCCAGCAATGGTGCCCACCGTCCAGGGAAGACTTCGGACCCACCAGGGGTGAGTGCAGCCTCCCACCAGCAGGCCTAGGCCTGGGAGCCACAGCAGCGAACTCCTCCTCCGACGGCCTCCGGCATGAAACGGGCTTCGCGCATGCTCAATCGCCTCCTGTAACAAGAGAAGCAAGGAACATAGAGACAAGTCAGTTCAGACTAGCATCAAACATACCATTGCCTTATTGTGAGTTTGCTCACATCCTGGACCATGGACAGTTGCCTCCAGTAAGTACTTACTATAGCAATTCAGGGACAATGTCTATTAATCTACCAAAATTACAAATTGATGGAGGTAATCTTACAGAGTGGAGTTAACAGTTGCAAGTTGCTTTTATGAAGGAAAATGCACTCTTTCTAATTAACAGACCTCCACAAAAGCCTTGGTCCTTAGAAATTGACTGTGTTCACCATAAAGCTTTTTATATACTGTTAACTACCATTCCTTCAACTATGGTACCCACCATTGGTAATAACCTAACTGTGTCTGAGGTAATTCAAAAATTGTATAGTTTGTTCTACAGCCAGAGTAGAGCCACAACAACTAGGACAGTGATGGCTAACCTTTTTGCCAACGCGTGCCAGGAGAGGGGGGGCGGGGGAGGGTTGCGCGCGCACGTGCCCACGCGCATGTGTGTGCAACCCCCTCCCCCCCCCTCTTGGCACATGATGGCCTGGTAGGCCCGTTTTTCTTTCTTACCTGGCTCCAGATCCTCTCTGTGTATCTGGGAACGGCGAAAACAGCCTTTCCCACTCCCTTGGAAGCCTTACGGAGGTTGAAAGGGCTCATTTCCCAACTCTCGGTGGGACAGGAAGTGACATTTTTTGCTGTCCCCAGCCTCCAGAACCTCTCTAGGAGTCTCTAGGAGCCTCTCTAGGAGCCTCTCTAGGAGTCTCTGGAGGCTGGGGACAGGAAAAAACGTCACTTCCTGTCCCACCGGGAGTGGGGAAATGGGCCCTTTCAGCCTCCATAGGGCCTTCAAGGGAGTGGGAAAGGCTGTTTTCGCCGTTCCCAGATACACAGAGAGGATCTGGAGCTAGGTAAGAAAGAAAAACGGGCCTCCCCGCCCCCCCAGGGGCAGGAAACAGCCTGTTTCCCTACTTCTGGTGGGCCCAGAAGGCCCAAAAATCAGCTGGCTAGCGCGCGCATGCGCCCGAGAGCTGAGCTGGCGTGCCCACTAATATGGCTCCGCGTGCCACCTGTGGCACGCGTGCCATAGGTTCGCCATCACGGAACTAGGATATCTAGGGAATTCCACTCAGCCAGACATAGACCAGGGGTTCCCATGAGCGAGCACATTGAAGTTAAATGCAACCAGGGCTGAGCTCATGCAAAGAGGAGAGATAATAACAGAAGAAAGTATGATGAGTATTATTATCAACTCATTAGATAGCAGCTGGAACAACTTCGTAACCCAGTTGGATAGCCTCAGCATAGAACACATATCGCTAGGCACACTAACAAACAGGTTAATAGCTGAGGATAGCCTGAGAAGGGACCGCCACCTATCCAGGAGAGAACCCAGACCAATAAAGAGTTGAATTTCAGGATAGGTCAAAAAACAACCCAGAGTGTTTCTCCTGTGGGTCCAGGAACCATTTAAAGAGGGACTGCCCCAGGAACAACAGAGACAGATGTTATAGTGACAGCAGAGGGAGGCGGTCACCAGAGCGCAGACCATTCAGAGAGCGAGGGCGTGGGTGGTCACCCAACCCCAGAAGACAACATGAACGTAGGGATAGCTCTAGGGACAGTCACCCAGGCTACATGTATGGTTTTAGATGTGATAACCCAGATACCAGACAAAAGACAAGAAGGGACATGTGGCTCCTAGACTCAGGGGCCACTAACCACACCACGTGTAACCCGAAACTATTTAGTTCACTCACTGAGACAGACTTCAAGCTAAAGGTAGCCAATCAGAGTAGTGTCCAAGTAGTAGGGAAGGGGAACGTGCACATTCCACAAATTGGAGAAATAGAGGGGGTATTGTATGTACCTGAGATATCCTATAACGTGTTAGCCACCACCAAACTCACACGTGACACAGACAGTGAGGTAGTGTTCAGGGATGGGAAAGTACATGTGCTCAAGCAAGGAAATAAGATCGGGAAGGTGGCCATACTAGAGGGCCTACCCTACTTCACACCTGACACGGGCAACGAAGGGAGCATTAACATGAACACGGTCAATGAGGAAGAGGGAAACACAGAGTCAGAGGGGGTACACCAGGGAATCACCAACTGTAAACAACCCAGCAAGAATGTTGTATCTATTGGGAAGCCCATGCATGACAACTGTGCCCACCTCCTCCACAGGAGGCTGGGACACATCAGCTTCCCTGTTGTAAAGAAGATGCTAGAATGTACTGAAGGACTCAAATTAAAAAATTGTGCAAACTATCTAGAGTGTTCAGTTTGTAAGTGCTCAAAGATTAAGGTCAAGGCTAGGCCAAAAAGGTCAGAACGAACCACCAAGTCTCCTTTCCAACTGATACATATGGATTTAATAGGGCCATTCAGGCCTTCTATCAGACATAGAAAGAGGTTCTTTCTAACTATTGTGGATGATTACAGCAGATATGGGTACGTCTATTCACAACAGCGAGGTATCACAAAGATTCAAGGAATTCCACAAAAGAATAGAGTTACAGCACAACACAAAAATAAAACAGATAATGACCGACAGGGGGTCAGAGTTTATGGCCAAGGAATTCACAAGATGGTTAAGGGAGCAGGGCATAGTGCATTACTCCTCTTCGTCTTTTTCGCCATTCCAGAATGGGGTCGTAGAAAAGAAAAACGGGATGCTCCAAACTATGATGAGGTGCGTTTTGGAGGACGCAGAACTGGGACAATCTTTTTGGTCAGAGGCGCTGCACTATTCTATTCTATTCTAACTATAGGTTGTGGTCAAGCTCCATTAACAAAACACCATATGAAATGCTGTATAAGAGAAAATCTAATCTGGCTCACCTACATATATTTGGCGCCCCAGCAGATGTACACATACCTAGGCAACTGAGAAGGAAAGGGGACAAAATTTCTAAGAGACTGAAATTCGTGGGGTATGAGCCAGGGACTAAAGGATATAGGTTCATAGATAACAACAACAGGTTTATAGTCTCCAGATCCGCTGACTTTCACGAAAACTCAAACTGGTCAAAGCTCCACTCCAATGACATCCTCATCAACAAAGACACACACAGCCATGGTCAGAGGGAAGAGGAACTAACCACAGAGAAAACAAAGGAAGCTAAAACAGACAAAACCAAACATCACAAAATAAGCACAAAAGAGTGGAAGGAAGGGCTCTCCGTCGCTGCCAGACGGTCCCTTGGGACCGCCAGCCCCATCGCCTGTAAAGAGCCGCCTTTACAACGGAAAGGCGGCTCGAAAAACTCCATTTCCATAAGGAAATGTGAGATAGAGCAGGTGAGGGCAGGTAGAGCTCTCCGCGAAGCCCCCAGAGTTTTTTTTTTACTCCTGGGGGCGAAGCGGATGAGGCTCCCTATTTCCCTCGCCGCTGCTCCGGGCTTTGGGAGACCTCTGCTTTTTTGCAGAGCCAGGCAACGAGAACAAGCCTTTTAAAGAAAATTAACAGATTAATTAAAGAGGATGAGATCTGGACCTGTGACCCTAAATCGCAAGTATTTTCAGTTACTTTATAAAAGATATTGAAGAAAGCAAAAAAGAATTTTAAAATGGCAACTGCCGAGGATTGAGCAGGGAAAGCTGAAAGGGAAAGTCCTTCTGTTTCTTAATAAGCCACAAAGTAGCGGAATAAATACTGCTGGCTACAATTGAAGAAAAAGTTCTACTTTTATGTTTTCTTTTTCCTGGAGATTTGATACTGATCTTGTTTGGAAAGAAGCTTTCTTTTCTTCTCTTTTCTTTTCTTAAAAAAGAGTTTGTCTGTGTGGAAGTATGGCGTTTAGACTAACAAAGCCAGACAAACAAGTAGTGGGGGGGGGGGATTCCCCCATCTACAAACTACATGAACAAGTTTTAAACCTACAGACTCAGAAAACTGATTTTAATATAATTGAATTTCTTTTGGAGGAGATTGTAAGAAGGGATGAGATTGTGAACCAGAATTTTGAAAAATTTAAGCAGGAAATTAAAGAATTGGTACAATTAAAGTATGATAATTTGCAACAAAAGATTGTAAAAGTGACTAACGGTTTTTCAGAAATTGCTATGAAGTTGGATACAAATATTAATTTATTAGAGTCTAAAATGGAGGAAATTGATGACAAGATTTATAATTTGGACAATAAAATACAAAGAATTGAAAATGATTTGATAAACACCCAAGACAATAGCTTAGAAGAAAAATCTAAAATGGAAGCTGATCATAAGACTTGCAATGTAGAAAATATAAAACAACGGATTGAAAAAGAAGTTTTAATGATGCAACATAGTTTCACAGAATTTGCGATTAGACTGAGAGGATTACAGGAAAATAACAGAGATGATTTAAGGAAAATATCTGCTGAAATTCTGGCTGGGATCTTAAAGGTTCACCCTGAGGAAGTATTTTGCAGGATTGACAGAGTCTATAGAGTAAATTCTTGGATTGCAAAGCAAAGGCAACTGCCCAGAGATGTGGTGATTTACTTTACAGATAAAGAAATAAGAAATAATATTGTGCAAAAATCCTTTAACTCTACTTTGCAACTGTTTGGAAGAAAGATTTGGATATATAAAGAGTTACCGCCCAAGATGTTATTGGATAGAA